TTTTATATTAATTGAAATTTTAGAGGGAAAAAAATATTTTTTCCAAAATAGATATAAAAATAAGGATAAAAATAATTAATCATAAAAATTAATTAATAATTAATACTAATCGAAAATAATTTCACCATTGTTATCATTTCAAAATTTTTCAGTTTTTTTCAAAAAAAAAAAAGGAAAAGAAAAAAATTGGAATTGAAATAATTGCTTCTTTTATTACATTTCTTTCGTACAAATTTCTAAAAATTGTTAGAATTTATTAAAGAATTGATTGTTTTTTGAAGGATAAATAATTTCCAATCAAATTTCATTACTTGAATACACGAAAATAATATATTTCTCCGTGTAAATAATTTGAAATTATTCAAAATATCGCTAAAGATTTCAAAATATCAAAAAAAAAAGCAAAAATAAAAAAAAAATTTATCAGTATTGTGAATTACTCAAGATATCACTGAAGATTTAAAATATCAAAAGAAAATTTGTTAGTATTATGAATTTGATGGAAATAATTTTTACAATTATAGAACGGTTTCATTATCAATCAAACCATTAGCTTTCATATTTAAGCTTTTCTCACATAAAAGAATACTTCATGATAAATTTTAATGAAAAAAATGAAAATTATAAATTTTAATGAAAAAAGGAATTATTACAGTAACGAATAATTCATGATAAATTTTAATGAAAAAAAAAAAAAAGATGGATTGTTACAGTATCCAAATGTAATCATAATTAGCAATAATAATACAATAATGCTTTTTCAATTAATATTTATATTTGACTTATAATAATTACAATAGTTGTAGAATGTTATAATTAATCCTTGTACTGAGCAAATGAAACAGAATACTTCTTTAGCTAATATTTTGTAATTTTTAGGATATGACATGGTGACAATGAGTTCATCATTATGTTAATGTATAAATGACCAAATAAGTGACCATTGTAATGATGCTATTTCCTCTTATCTTTTCTTTTTTTACGGCTTCATCAAAAGGCTTTGATTTACTCAAAGATATATATTTTCGCCAAATGGCGCAATCAACTCTAAAACCATTGCTGTATCGTCGATAATACAAAGGTTCTTCCGCTATCTTTTATATTTCCTTTTTTTTTTTTTTTTTGTCCGCTTTTTTGAAAGTTATAATATCTTTGTGTTACCATATGAAGCATATGACGATTAAATATTAAACTATAACAATTATTCTGTAACTATTGATTGAGAAATATTTTACCGGAATGATTAAATGAAATCCGGAAAGTAAGATTGAATATTGAAATTAACATTCGATAATAAAAAATATCATGAAATTTTTTGGAATAAAATGAAAAATTGAAAAAAATCAAACTTATCATCTTATACTAATAACATAATTTAATTACTTGATATTGTAATTGAAATTGAATTTAATTTGATATAGAATGAGATAAAGAACGAAAAGATTGATGATTAATTAGTTTTGAAATAGAGATTTTTAACAATTCAAATTTACATTTGTGAATTATGAAAAAAAAAATCATTTGATAATGAATTGTTGGAAAATTATTTCTAAAAATTATTATTGCAAAACTAATTGCCGAAAATTTTGATGCTTTTTTCGAAGGTAATGAAAATTTTACAAAAAATTTCTGATCATCGAAATAAAAATCAAAATTATGAATAAAATTTCTGGTGAATTTTATCGTGATTTAATTTATCGTAAATAAGATTTTATCGTAATTTGAAAATTTTTTGGAAAATTTTGGGAAAAAATTTACGAAATTATTATGAATTTAAATTACCTAAAATTGTACCTATTAACTAAGTTGAAATTATTAACTTGCTTTATATAGACTGACACTAGGGTACTAATTGCATATGTATTGCTAATAACAATTAATTAGTTAGTCAATTAATTGATTAAGGTTCTAATTTAGGGAAAGAAATGAAATTTTCTTTTTCTTTTTTTTTAAGATAATAATAACATTGCGATGATGATGTATGCTTCCAATAATTCTTAAATTTTGCAAAATATACATTTTTTTTTTATAAAATTATACATTTTGATATAAATTTTAATCATTTTGATATAAAAAAAAAATATAAAATATACATTTTGTAAAATATACATTTCAACCTTAGCAATAACAATGTCTCAAAGGACAATAAATGAATTTTAAAGATACAAATTCTATTGATGTTTATACTAATACTTTGAAGTGATTGAGTGAAAGATGAAAGCAATGATTGAATGATTTTACTTTAGAAAAGTGACAGATTGAAATTTTAATGAAATTAAAATAAATTAATTGTTAATTATCCCACTTCTATTCTCTCATTTTTTTTCCCTTCTTCAATTACTTTTTACAATATTCTCATTAAAATTAAATTTGATAAGTAATTATTTTGAAAATTAAATATATTTTTACCTCATCATTAATAGCGCAAACTTTTACACCAGATACAGAAATTGATAATTGAACAGCAGTAGCTGGTTTCCGATGAACGAAACGATCTAATCGTTGTGATATTGATTCTGGATCGGTTCCTGATACCGGAAATGATCCAAGCCACTGAAAAAAAAAAGGAAAAAAGAAAAGGAAAAAAGAAAACATTTATAAACGAAGGAATTCATTTGTTGTTCAAATAAAACATCAATTCTTTCATGGTAATTATTTTCTTTTTTATCTATTTATTTTTTTTCAATAGATAATTTAGAAATTTTATTCATTACTATTTATGTAAAAATTTTATTTGATGCAATAAATTTTAATTCACCCATAAAAGGGCATCAAAACGTTTTACACATCATTAAATTTTTTTATTTGTTTTATTTTTTTTTTCTTTTTGTTTTTGAATTGTAATTACATTGAATAAAGGAAAATACCGCTTTCGTCACATTCTATCTATTTGATAGCATTTAGAAAACGAAATTTTTATGATAATTTTGTTAGATTAAGAAGTTTAATGTATAGCACGTGAAAAATAAATTCCAAAAAGTTGAAGAGGTCATTGTTAGGTGATGATGATCTTTGACTTCTTTGTTAATTATTCTGTTAAAGCATATACATGAAAAAATGAATCAAACCTCCACATTCCAGGAGAGTGAGAAACCGGGTCGCATGTGTATATCACCAATTCTGTAAAGATGGATGACAGGGCAAGACGACAGACGATCACCGATGATGTCGAATGCCGTAGATAGTTGTAGTCCGAAACAGAATATGGACAACAGGTGGGCGACAATTGTTCCAACAAATAAAATGCACAATTGCGGCAGATAGCTAATGCAGTAAGAGCAGTAGCAAAAGCAGTTGTAGTAGTAGTAGTAGTAGTAGTGATAGTAGCTGTAGTAAAAATGAATGATAGATGAATGAATGATGAAAACTGATCTGATCGGCGTAACGTTTCACTCTTTTCAACTACTATGGGGTGAAAATTGTTTAGTCCCACCTACCGCTACAACTGCTACTACTACTACTACTACCACTACTACTACTACTACTACCACTACTACTACTACTACTACTACTACTACTACTACTACTACTACTACTACTACTACTACTACTACTACTACTACTACTACTACTACTACTACTACTACTACTACTACTACAACTACTAAATTTTTTAGTTACAGGATGACTGTAATGATGTATTTAACATGAATACTTTATTGGGGGGAAAAAAATTGACCTTTTTTGAAAAAGGCTTTATATTGTTGTCGCATTGCATGCATGCATGCATTCCTACAGTCAGTTTATGGTTTCATTTATGTGACATAGTGATGGAACGGATGAATAATACTGTAGCAATAATTAAGGTGATTCGGAGTAATTATTATCAGTGTTTAGTGGCAC